TGTCCCTTAAGCTTGAGCTTCCCCACACTCTTTTAAATAAAGACAGTTCCTTTGAGTAGAGCTTCAGAGTTCTCACTTCATATGGAATGCCATTTCCCCCTGGGCAAAACCCCTGACCACTTTCTGGTGGGTGTTCAACTGGAGGTAGTCTCTCATTGGCTTGGCTTAGCTTATCCAGGTTTGGACCCTCTGCCCTACGAATGGGCTGGGGCAAGGGCCATTGCAGTTTGAGGAGGAGGGAGTATTCACCTGCTTGCCATTGGAGTAGAGTTCCCATCCTGTGGATGGGGGCTGAGTGGAGAAAGGGAGCCCCAAACTCTTAGCTGACCACACTCACCAGGAGGGAGCCCTATGTTCCTGGCTGCACCCAGCTGGAGTGAAGTCTCCCTAAAGCTGAGGAAGAGAGGAAGCAGGTCTTAGTTCAAATGCTGCAGACTCTTGTAGTTTTCTGTTTTGTTGGCCACACCAGAACCACATAATTAGAGGGTTGGTGCTTTTTTTTTTTTTCCCCAGAGAAGAAGGGAGAGGGGGAGAGAAATAGAAACATCAATGATGAGAGAGAATCATTAATCAGCTGCCTCCTGCACACCCCACACTGTGGATTGAACTCGCAACCCGGGCATGTGCCCTGACCGGGAATCGAACTGTGACTTCCTGGTTCATAGGTTGACTCTCAACCACTGAGCTACGCCGGCTGGGCAGATTTTCTTGAGTAAATGTTTCCTCCTAACAAAATTTACCATCTTAAACCATTTTTAAGTATACAGTTCAGTAGTGTTAAGCATATTCACCTTATTGGGCAGCCAATCTCCAGAATTTGTCATCTTGCAAAATTGAAACTATACACATTAAACACTAACTTACCCCACCCTGCCAATACCACTTATCTTCTATCTATGAATTTAACTATTCTAGATACCTCACATAAGTGAAATCATACAATTTTTTTGTGGTTGGTTTATTTCATTTAGCAAGGTTCATTCATAACATAAATCAGAATTTTCTTTTTAAGGCTGAAGACTAGTAATAACTGTATATATATACCACATTTTGTTTACCCATTCATCTGGACACGTAAGTTGCTTCTGCCCTTTGGCTATTGTGAATAGTGCTACAATAAACAAGGGTATACAAATAACTTTTAAAAGATCCTACTTTTAGTTCTTTTGATGTATACCCAGAAGTGGAATTGTGAGATCATATAGTCATGCTATTTTTTAATTTTTTGAGGAACTGTCTTACCATTTTTCACATCAGCTACACCATTTTATACTCCCAGCAGCAGTGCAAAAGGATTCCAATTTCTCTACATTCTTGCCAAACCTTTTTGTGTTTGTTTTTTAAATATTAGTCATCTCATGGGGTATAAAATGGTATCTCATGGTTTTGATTTACATTCTCCTAAGGATTAATGACTTTGAGAATCTTTTCCTATGTTTATTGGCCATTTATATATCTTTGGAAGTGTCTATTTAAAGCTTTTTAAAATCTCTGTTTCAGCTCAGATTTCTTTTATCCAAGATATTGGAAGGCTTCCTCTGAATCGACACTTTGGAAGGTAAGCTGATGATTTTAATTTTCAAAGAACTGCTACTGAACTGTCCACTGAATATGATATCTATTTTTCCAGTATACAACCCATAAATGTTATCTGTAAAATCCAAGAAATACATTTTGGACCCAGTGATTAAAGACCATGATTGCATTGTAGGCCCATCATTTTATTACATATAAAAATGTATTTTCACCAGCTTACAGTGGAATATCAGACTAAATAGAATCATGGAATCACAAAGGCAGAGAATCTTTAAAATCATCTAGTTGAACAAATTTTGCATATCTGGAAACACCTTTTCAGCTTTCCTATCAAGAGATTTTCTTGCCTATATTTGAAGCCTGCAATGACCAAGCACTATCTTTTATTTACTTATCATAGAAAATCCAAACAATTGAGAAAATACAGATTCTTAGAGTGATAAGCCTATATCTGTACCATTCATTTTATTGCAAAATTGTTTCTGCACTAATATCAGTGATTAACACAATATTTATAGTTCATTTCTTCTTAGCTTATTTGTAAGGTCAGATTATACACTCAGGCATTTATTTATTCATTTTAATCCTCACCAGAGGATATGTTGTATTGATTTTAGAGAGGAAGGGAGAGGGAGAGGGAGAGGGATAGAGAGAAACAGAGAGAGACAGAGAGAGACAGACAGACAGACAGACAGAGGGAGAAAGAGAAACATCGATCTGTTGCCTCCCATACAACCCCATCTGTAGATTGAACCCTTAACCTTTTGGTATATGGGAAGACACTCCTAACCAACTGAGCCACCCAGCCAGGGCTACACTCAGGCATTTAAAAAGAATTAAAAAGAGTTAATCACTGTTATTGGTTCAAGTACTTTATCTGACTTTGTCAGTGCTACTTATTACAATGACTAGTACTGTTATCTTTCATTTATGATGACCACATTTAACATTATCTTTGATTCACATTGATAATGTTAAATATTAATATTTAGCTTAATATTTTAATAGCTGCAAAATTTCCTGTAATTCACCTGCACCTTATTTTTGTACCTTTAGCTTACTTCCTACTTTTATCACAGCGTTTCTTATAGCTAAATCATCATGCACATCAAATACTATTTACAGAGGATGAAATGAAATAGCTGAATCATCGAATATACATCTTTCTGTTTGCTCTATATTGCCAGATTGGTTCCAAGAACAGGTTGACAATTTTATGCCCTTTTACAGTGTATTAGCATGTTCTTTTCTCCTAACTCTTGCCACCACTGGGTCTTATTATTTTAAAAGGTCTTTGCCAGTTTAAAAGATGAGAAAAGTAGTTTGTTTTTTAAGGGAGGGACAGAAAAAGAGAGAGAGATTGATTTGTTGTTCCACTTACTTATGCATTCATTGGCTGCCTCTTGTATGTGCTCTGACCAGTGTTCAAAGCCGAAACATTGGTGTATTGGGATGACGCTCTAACCAACCGAGCTACGGGGTCAGGACTAACAACTTAATATTTTCATTTCCATTTTTAAAATTATAAATCAGGTTGAACACTTTAGTTACCATTGGCACTTTTTTTCTGTAAGTTGTTCTATGTTTTATGCCCATTTTCTATTTATCTTTTATTAGTTTGTAATAACTCTTTAGTAAAGAGATTATTCAACTCGTTTGTATTGTAAGTTGTAATGGTTTATTCACAATGTCATTTACCTTGTACTTTTGTTTATATTGTTAAATAAACTAAAGGGCCTGACTAAATAGTGAATAGAATGAAGGTAAATGAAAGCATCGGGAGAAGGTTTCATAATCTTCATACTCATGTGTAATTTAAAGGAATCTCCTTTGGTTATTATTAATGCCTGCATTATCAATCTGGTAGATTAAAAATGGAAGCGCTGACCGACAGGGAGCATGGACTGATGGACCCAGGAAGTGGAGATGAAGCCCAGTTTATCGGAGGACAAGCTTCAGAGGAAGCTGTGGAACAACCTACTCAAACCCGGGAACCTGAAACCTGCTCTCTGCCTTTGAGTCAGAATAGTGGGAATGAACTGCCTGCCAGCCAGCCTCAGCCCTTTTCAGCCCAGGGAGACATGGAAGAAGACGACGACGACATGAGAATAGAAGACTATGAGAGCGATGGAACATAGAAACCAGCCCACCAGTCACATTGCTACCTGACAGATTCACATTCGTTTTAGTCAGTGGTACTTGAACAGAGATATAATATATATTTCAAGTGAATTACAGTGTAAGTCTTCACTCTTGTAGTATTTCAGCACAAGAAACTGACTCTTCTCTCAAAGTAAATAGGAAAGCCTTCAAATATATCTTTTTTTCTCTAGTATTTATTTAATCTTGTGAGTGGTATTGGGAGAAGAGGCCAGTGTGTATGAAGTGTGTTTGAACATTATGCCAAGTATCTCAAAATGTGAAGGAATAATTCAGAATACAAAAAGTTTATGGGGTTGTAAATATGAATTATAAAACAGCTTAGTATGCAGTTATGAGTGTAAATAAACTTTGTGCCTTAATTACAGTTTCTCTATGGTCTCTTAACTTCTTGGATACCTTTTTAATATGTTGTACAATGGAATATTTTGGATACTTTTTGGAAAGTATTACATAATTTATATCAAAATTAAAGTGTTTAATGTCTTTCTGTTTCTCCTGTCTTAATATCTCCTAACGTGTACTGTCTGCGGTGTATCACTGGGCATAGGATATGAAACTCCTTCATCCAGAGTCGAACTTTTTTAAAAAATAGGGAAGACTGGCTGCCTTGCGCTGAGAACTCTCCGGAGGGTTAGTCACCCCTCACTACCAGCTGGGTCCTTACCTTTGCTTTGAGGTGTGGGCGTGGGGGTTGGGGGACGGGCACCGACCGGCTAGGGCTCCTAGCGGGGCCCCAACAAAGCCGGGCGGGGCAAGGCTTGGCTCGGCCCCGCCCCGAGAGCCGGATCCCGGTTTCAGTCCTGCGGACAGGGAGCGCGCTCTTCCGGCTGCCGCGCAGGTGAGGAGGGTCCGGGGGGGCCCACGTGACCGGGACGCGGGCGGGCGGGCGGACGGACGGGCGGGCGGGGCCGGCGCCTCCGGGCAGGTGCGTGTATGGAGTGGGGGGTCCTGGACCCCTCAGAGCTTCCTGGGCCCGCGGCGCTCGACTCCCGGCCCCGCCTTAACCCGCGGCCAGCCCGGTAAGAGGCAGCGGGACACGGGTCCGGAGGGCCCGCCCGCCCGTCTCATTCAGGGACAGGTGCGCGGCCGGGCTCCGTCCTTCCGGGCGCGGGGAGCCTACTTACCGGAGGCGGGCATGGCAGAGCCGGCTGAGTTCCGGTCACTCTGCGGGGGACGCTCCCAGCACTGAGCGTGCATTTTCACTCCGAGACGCGAAGACGGAGCGCGCGCGCGGGTGGGCAGAGCAGGGGACGGAGCGAGGTGGGTGGGACCCGACGCCCAGCGGCGAGCTCGGGAGCCGTCCGAGCGGAGAGGTTGGGCGGCCCGTGGCACGCACTCGCGGGTGAATTAAAACCCTCAGGGCCTTTCCCAGCCCCTGGAGCCCAAAACACCCTAAATCTGCCCCTTCCTCGGGCCCAGCAGAACGTTAAAGCCCGCCGCAGCTGCGGCTCTGCTCGTGTAGAGGTAACCAAGCTCGTTCCTGGGACGCTTTGCCGGGGGACCATTTCTCCTGCCTCCGCGATGGCTTTCCCAGGTGTGCGTCCCGGGGAATGCAGGCAGGGCCGGGGCTTGAAGAAAACACAAGACCCACGGCCTCAGCGCACAGGTCGAAGTGGACTCTCGACGAAACCCTGGACCCAGATAGTTAAGACCTGCCCAAGTACAGCTGAGCATCCCTTCGGACATCAAATATTTCGCTCTTACGCAATTCTTCAGATTTATACTTTTTTGCTTTTTATTTAAACATTGGCAAAGTGGCCTAATTCAAATAAGCCACCTTTCTCAGGTGAAGATAAATCCATTACTTTTTGTTTACAGTGAGCTAAATGAAGCAATGGAGTATCCTTTAAATGCATATACAGTGTAGGTAGGTATTGAGGGATATCATGTAAAACTTGCTAAAATTATTGTGCTTTTGCTTCTACTCTTAGGAAAATGTACTTCAAAACTGTAGTAGTACTTTGTATTTCTAGAATTTAAACTTAGGTAAAGATAAAAAATAGAGACCACAAATGATTTTTATCACTTCCTGAGCTCCTGCTTTGCATTGGGCACCATGCTAGGACTATCATAGTTAATTCTTTAAAATTGGAGTGTCCCATTAGAAGACCCCCCAAGTTAGACTTCTTTATCTCCACCCCCTTCTTGGGTGATCTATCTAGTCTGTGGCAGTACATGCCCGTCTGTACATAGACTGCACACTTGACATCTCCAGCTGGATTTCAAACTCCCCGAGGCTGCTTCTCCCCAAGGCTAAACAGGAGGGAAGAAGAAATGTTGCTTCAAAGTAAGGTATTGCCAGAGGGACTAAGGTAGGGGATATAGATGAAACAAGATTGGTCATAAATTGGTAATCATTGAAGATGGTCGATGGGTACATTAGCGTTCATCATACTATTTCCATTTTTATTATGTTGGAAAATTTATATTTAAAAAGCTTAATTAAAAAATAATTTAATTTCCTGTATCTAGAATTTGACCTCTTCTTGCTGTCTCTATTGCTACCACCATGGCCTGCTGGGTTATTTCGGGCGCCTCCTAGCTAGTCTCCGTTGTCACCCTTGTCTCACTGGCCTCCATGCCGTAATAGTTCAACATGCCGGGCACTCTAACAAGACATTTGCACGAGCTGCTCCATCTACCTGGAATGCTTTCCCTGGAATAGCTGCCTAGCTTCCTCCTTTATCTCCTTCATTTCTATATTCCGATATCTTGTTGCCTATGAAGACTTTCCTAGTCATTCTATTCAAACTTGTAACACCTTGCCCATGGTGCACACCTTATCCCCTTTCTTAACTTTGTTCCTGAGCATTCAATCTATTTTATTTCCCTTGTCTACTATCATCTGCCTCACTGGAAGGCAAAGGTTTCGGTTGGCTTCCTTCACTGATACACTTTCAGCATGGTACACAGCACTGATACCCCTAGTACATAGCAGGTGTTCAGTAAATATTTGTTGAATGATCAATCTCCATTTTACAAAGTAAAATAAAGCAAGCCTTAGGAATTTCTAAATTGTTCAATATTATAAGGTGGGATTAGCCTTTTAAGCTTTGATTCCACACACACACACAAATAAATTTTAAAAAGTAAAGACAAAAAATAAATTTTGATGCTACCTCCATAGTGCCAAGTACAATGTCATGTGCCCAGTGAGTCTCCAAGTAAATATACATGTAAGCAACTTGAGGGAGAAATTCATGTGCTATAAACCTAGTTACATTAGCAAATGCTTTCATTCTTTTTGTATTTGTGTCCATGAAGGAAATCAACAGGTTTAGTAAAAGTACTTTTTCTGTGCCCTATTTTTTGGGTGGATTGAATATCCTGTAAGGTAACTTCTGAGTCTCTCCATGGCAATAGCAGTGGCATTTAGATAATTCTTCTGAAAAGACTGATATGCATGGTCATTGCTGCTGCTCTGTGTTGTGCTTTCGGGGAATCTATACTTTTGGTAATATTTATTCTCTGAGAAATCAGTTTTTAAAATCTAGTATCAAGTATTAATATTTCGAAGTGGCAGAAGCAATGCCCCTAAACTGACTTTTCTGGCTTAAGAAAGAAAGGGGCTCTTCATTCCCTGTGTTTAACAGACTGCTTCTTGGGGCCATTCATTCCAAAGCAGATTTGAGTTAATGAAAATGAAGAGTATGTACTGACTTATCATTTTTTTGTTTGCTCAAACTTAAATATTTAGATTTAGGTGTTTGAGGAAAGGACCCTACTTGGAAAGTGATAGCATCCTGTCTTGTTAAAATGTAGTTCTATTTTTGTTTTTTTAGATTTTGTTGTTTACAGAGCTCATACATAAGTTAGACTTATAAATGTTTCATTCAGGGCTAAGATTTAAGTTTTTGATTGCCTTTAAAATTGTATAGAATGATGATTATGTCCCTGGCTAACATAATTGTTATATATGTTTAAAATACACATATTTATGTTATTTAATATATCATAATAGACATGATCCTATCGGTTTCCTAAATGTGATCATTTGCTGCTGAGTAAATAAAATCAGCATTGAAATAATAAAAATAATAAAAAACTAAGCATAAGTGATATCTAATCTTGGCCACAGGTATAGAAATCACAAATGTCTTCAAAGGATGGGAGATCCAGGAATCGAGACAGGCACTACAATGAAGTCCCAAGGGACTTGACCCATGAAGATGGCACCATAAGAACCCTCCAGACTCTTCATGACAGTGAGCTGGCTGTGAGCGCTGATCCTTTGCCACCACCCCCTCTCCCATTACAGCCACCATTTGGCCCTGACTTCTACTCAAGTGACACAGAGGAACCAGCCATAGCACCAGACCTCAAACCCGTAAGGCGCTTCGTCCCTGAGTCCTGGAAGCACTTCTTCAGAGGAAAGAAAAAGGACCCAGAATGGGATAAGTCGGTGTCAGACATCAGATACATCTCAGACGGAGTGGAGTGTTCGCCTCCATCCTCTCCAGGGAGACAAAACCACCACTCACGCCCCAACTCCGACAAAGATCCTTACGGAGGGTCAGAAGGAACCTTTAACTCCCGGAAAGAGGCTGAAGCGATGCTTCCCCAGGATCCCTATGGGTCTCTGGGCCGACACACACAAACGGCTCTAACGTACAGTGAGAAGGTGGAGGCCTACAACCTGAGGTACTCCTACATGAAGTCGTGGCCTGGCCTGCTGAGAATCCTCGGGGTGGTGGAGCTGCTGCTGGGGGCGGGCGTCTTCGCCTGTGTCACAGCTTACATTCACAAGGACAGTGAGTGGTACAACATGTTTGGCTATTCCCCTCCCACAGCCATGGGAGGCTTTGGTGGCCTGGGCAGTGCGTATGGGGGCTACTACTACAGTGGCCCCAAAACTCCTTTTATACTCGTGGTTGCTGGATTAGCTTGGATCACCACCATTATTATTCTGGTTCTTGGCATGTCCATGTATTATCGGACCATTCTTTTGGACTCTAACTGGTGGCCCCTGACTGAGTTTGGAATTAACATTGCCTTGTTTATTTTGTATATGGCTGCAGCCATAGTCTATGTGAATGATATCAACCGAGGTGGACTCTGCTACTATCCAGTATTTAATACACCAATGAATGCAATGTTCTGTCGGGTAGAAGGAGGACAGACAGCAGCGATGGTCTTCCTGTTTGTCACCATGATTGTTTATCTCATCAGTGCTTTGGTTTGCCTCAAGTTATGGAGGCATGAGGCAGCTCGGAGACATAGGGAATACATGGAACAACAGGAGGTAAGGAATTTCACAATCTTTCTTTTGTTTTTTGTGTTTTTTTTTCTGTTATTTACTCCCTTGTTAAAAATGTATAGTTCTCAAAACAAGGATTTTATAGAAGCCTTTTTTTAAAAATATATTTTATTGATTTTTTACAGAGAGGAAGGGAGAGGGATAGAGAGTTAGAAACATCGATGAGAGAGAAACATCGATCAGCTGCCTCCTGCACACTTCCCACTGGGGATGTGCCCGCAACCAAGGTACATGCCCTTGACAGGAATCGAACCTGGGACCCTTGAGTCCACAGGCTGACGCTCTATCCACTGAGCCAAACCAGTCAGGGCAAGCCTTTTTTTTTTTTTTTTTTTTTTAATGATCTGAAGTTGAAAAGCTCCATATCTGACATGGTAGGCCTGGAATAGCCCACTCAGCAGTGTCACTGTTGTGTGGCATTGCAAGTAGACACCAGATGTGTAACATAATACAGAGCTTGTTGGCTGCATTATTGTGTCTCTCTGATGCGTAAGGGAAAACAGAGATACTGAATTCCTGCAAAGAAGAATAACAACATGCTCAGTAAATAAAATGTCTCATTAAAGTAAGTTAGAGAACAGTCTTGATTCTTCAGTATGGTAAGACAATAAAAAAATTATAATTTTTGTTAGAGGAGCAAAGTGCTCATTTAAATCTGTTACCATGAGTCCCAGTTTCTTCCAGTGAGTTAAAGTCAAGTAAGAATATGGTGAACCACATATGCTTTGTTAAGTATCAAGAAGCTAAGTTGTAATAAACATACTCTGAAAACTTACCCAGGTGTTTTGATGTTTCATCCTTATTTTAGGGAGATGAGTGTTCCAGAATTAGAGTGGGATCCATGTACTTTATTTCATTTCTAGGATTTAACTATTTAAATATATGGAAGAGAAGGAGGAGGAGAATTAATAATACCTACAGAATAAGATTGTATCAAAGCCTTATTTAAAATAATTTTATTTTGTTATGAGTATGTTCTACTAGCTTCAATACACCCTGAAATAAGCTAATGTCTTGCTTTCATCTTTTTCGTTTTGTTTTGTTTTCGTCTTCTAAGGAGTAGTGTGTAGTAGAATTTCCTATAACACTGAAAATGTCTTATTACTTTAACTTTTTTCTTTACTTCAAGTTAACTATGTTTGCATCTTTTCTCGCTTTTCTAAAAGTCTCCTAGATACATAATTGCACATAGTGTACAGGGATGGGCAAAAGTAGGTTGTAATAGAAATAAATAATACAATAATTAATAAATAATAAAAGAATAAACTGCCGAAACCGGTTTGGCTCAATGGATAGAGCGTCAGCCTGCGGACTGAGGGGTCCCGGGTTCGGTTCCGGTCAGGGGCATGTGCCTGGGTTGCGGGCGCATCCCCAGTGGGGGATGTGCGGGAGGCGGCTGATCGATGTTTCTCTCTCATCGATGTTTCTGGCTCTCTATCTCTCTCCCTTCCTCTCTGTAAAAAATCAATAAAATATATTAAAAAAAAAAAAAAAAAAAAAAGAGAATAAACTGTTTCAGGTACTCACAACTGTACGCTTACTTTTGCCCACTCCTGTATATTGGGCAAAACTATAGATAGTAAAGTCCTGTCCTTAGTTACTGGATGAGGTATTTGTTTACCCATTGACTTATATGGTTTTTATTCTTTTGCATGAATCTTATGCATAACAACTACAAAAACTTGACTAAGTTTATATCAAGAACCTTCTTCTTTTGTTTTAATTGGTAACATTTTTATTTGGGAAAAATATATCCAGTACCTTATGTAATATGGAGAACCTCAGCATGTTTCAATGTGATCCACACTCTTTTGTCACAAAATATATTAATCTTACTAGAGCTTGACCTAGATTTAAGTTTTTTTCTAAAAGCTTATTTGGGCATTGTTAAGCATATTTCTTAAATTTACATCTGTGGATACAAAGTAAAGAACTTGTATACAAAGCAAAGAATTTCAATCAGTTTGAAATCTGGATAGTGAAACATACATCCTCATAATTTTAGGGAAATTTAATAATAACAGAGTTCTTAATGTCATTTCAAAATTCTACATTAATAGTATCTGTAATTATCAACATAATTCTTTCATTTCCTGATAAAAACTTATTTCTGTCAGACTTTTCATAATGGCTGATTGGACTTGAATCACCTCTGATGTTACTGTAACTTCCTAAAAGGTAGAGAGCTGTAATGGCCTGTGGCTTTTTTCTGTTAACTTTATAATGTAACTGTCTCAAACTCTTTAATTGTGCAAGGTAATGGGAGCCAAGAATAAAGAAAATCTCTAGGTGATTCAAAGCAGCTTACCTAAGCTTCTACCATCTCCATATTTCCAACTCTGCTCTTTGTCCTGATTGACAAGGAATTACCCTTACCCCATCTGGTTCTCCACTGGCCCGTCAGCACATGGCCGAAAGTAGGAGGAGCATCTGAAAAGTAGAGAACCAACCTCCGTAAAATTGAGATTGGGCTAAATGCAGATGGATGAAAATATTTGCAAATAACTTCACATGCCTTTGAAAAATCATGTTAACTCTTCTTGTTCCAGATAAGTGAGCCATCATTTCCATCAAAAAGAAAAATGGTAAGAAAAAAGTTCACATTGTATTTTACCTCTATAGATTTGTTAAATACTTTTCTCTCTTGTCTATAAATCTACAGAGTAGATCCTCTTTCTCTGAAGGTGTATCCGTTACATTGAGTTCATAAGAGGACTTTCAGGTTTTTTCTAATACGTAAAGGACCAAGTTAGATAAGGCTATTAATAGCTTCTTTTACTTCTGTTAGATGAATAATTATGCAAGTGAACTGTTGGTTCTTTTTTTTTTTTTTTTTAATATATTTTATTGATTTTTTACAGAGAGGAAGGGAGAGAGATAGAGAGTTAGAAACATCGATGAGAGAGAAACATCGATCAGCTGCCTCCTGCACATCCCCCACTGGGGATATGCCCGCAACCCAGGTACATGCCCTTGACCGGAATCGAACCCGGGACCCTTCAGTCCGCAGGCCGACGCTCTATCCACTGAGCCAAACCGGTTTCGGCCTGTTGGTTCTTGTATGTTTAAATTCTAATCTTTAAAAATAAAGGTAATTCTCCCAAGCTTTCTGCAGTCTCTTTAAAGTTCTTTCAGATGCCAAATTTTGTTGAGTCAGGAAAGAAATTTCTCTTCCACCATTTACTAATTGTGTGGTAGTCAGCAAGTATTGAAACTTCTAATGCTTTAGTTTCTTCATCTATAAAATTGGAATAATAATTTCTACCTCGCATGATTGCTGAGATGATTAAATGAGATTCTGTTATAATTATTTACATATATGTAATAATTTAATATATTTTAATCATAATTTTACCTCATTGAAAAGTTCTTTTTTAAGATATTGGGTATTGCCGAAACCGGTTTGGCTCAGTGGATAGAGCGTCGGCCTGCGGACTGAGAGGTCCCAGGTTCGATTCCGGTCAAGGGCATGTACCTGGGTTGCGGGCATATCCCCAGTAGGAGATGTGCAGGAGGCAGCTGATCGATGATTCTCTCTCATCGATGTTTCTAACTCTCTATCTCTCTCCCTTCCTCTCTGAAAAAAATCAATAAAAAAAATATATATATTTAAAAAAAAAAAAAAGATATTGGGTATTACTTCTAAGCAAAAAATTGAGAATCCAATTTATCAATTTGTTTCTTTCTTTGAAAAGGGAGTATATTCACTTGGTCCAAAATTCAAAAGAAGCTCTAATACAAAGTCTTCTCTCCTATATTTGGCTTTCCAGTTCTCCTGCTTGGAGACAGCCAGTGTTATTAGTGTCTTGTGTTTCCTTTCAGAAATGTGTTATGTGTACATTCGCTCTCCTCCCCCTTTTACACAAATGGTAGCATACCATCTACACTGTTATGTTCCTAACTTTTTCCGCTTAACAATACATTTCTTTTTTAAAATATTTTTTATTGATTTATTGTTAAAGAGAGAGAATAAGTGAGAGAGAAAAGCATTGGATTTGTTTTCCACTTAGTTATGTATTTATTGGTTGCTTCTTGTATGTGCCCTGACTGGGGGTCAAACCTGCAACCTCGGCATATCACGATGATGCTCTAACCAACTGAGCTACCCGGCCAGGACAAACAATACATTTCTAAGATGTTTCCTTAGTACATGAAGTACATGAAGAACTTCTCCATTCTCTTTTTACAGTGCAGTGCGATGCAGAGAAAATAAACTTTGGGATCAGGCAAATCTGAATTGGAATATAAGATCAGCTACTTAATAGCTCTGTGACCCTGGGGAAATTACTTACCATCTCTGAATTTCAGTTTTCTGTCACTTGTTTGGAACTATCTACTAGGCTATTCCTTCTTTGGTATTTTATTTTATTTTTTTAGAGATTTTTTGTTATTATTATTATTTTTTTTAATATTTTATTGATTTTTTACAGAGAGGAAGGGAGAGAGATAGAGAGCTAGAAACATCCATGAGAGAGAAACATCGATCAGCTGCCTCCTGCACATTTCCCACTGGGGATATGCCCGCAACCCAGGTACATGCCCTTGACCGGCATCGAACCTGGGACCTTTCAGTCCGCAGGCCGACGCTCTATCCACTGAGCCAAACCGGTTTCAGCGAGATTTTTTATTATTATTATTGATTTTTAGAGACAGAAGGGAGATGGAGAGAGAGAAACATCAATGTGAGGGTGAAACATTCATTAGCTGCCTCCTGCACACCACTCCCTCTACCGGGGATTGAGCCCGCAGCCAGGGCATGTGCTCTGATCAGAAATTGAACTGGCAACCTTTGGGTGCATGGAAGGATGCCCAACCAACTGAGCCACACCAGCCAGGTATTTTAACAGCTACAATTTATAAAGAGCAAATAAGATAATTAAAAAAATAATAATATATAGACATAAACTAAGATCAAATAGAGACAGAAACTAATTCTAATAAATCCCTAAATGCTGAGCAGATTTTCTTTCCCAAGCTAGAAAAGCCAAAATCTAATCTGGGCATCGAAAGTAATGGTGTGGGTTTGGGATCAGGGGCCTATGCTTCATTACATTATACTCTAGGAGGGAGAGAAAATTGGGAATTGGGCAGATGGACACTGAAACACTTATCTAGCTTGCCCTATTTCTAACCTAACAGAATATTCATTCAGCCCCCTTTTTTTCATTCAGCCCATTTTTAATTTGAGAGGCTTAGTAATTATATCCAAAGCATTACTTATCCCGTTGCTTAATTACCTTCTCTTGCCTCACAATAAAGCTTTTCTGAAATTTGCTGACAGGACTAGTTTTTGTGAAAAGCAAAGAGCCCTATGTGGGGGCTTGTGTTTGTAATCAGAACACTGCTTGAGCATGGTCTGGCCCAGGGCTGGAGCCAGTGCACCCGTCTTGTGAAAGCTTAAAGCGGTTTTGATTCTTTGTCTCAGGTCCAGTTCCAGACCTTTTTCCCCAACAGGGTTTTCTGAACGGATGATTAATGAGGTTCTCCCTAAAAGAGTGGAAGACAATGTTAGGAGCATACAAACAGAAACACATTGAAGCAGACGAAATAGTCTTCGTGGAAGTGTTCTGGCTTCCTAAAACTCCCTCTTTATGTTAAAAGGTAAATGTTGGAAATAGGGATAGTAAGAAAAATGAGTAGTTCCTGCTTGAAAAAACTTTACCCAGGAGAAAGCCAAACCTCCCATGGACTGTCCTGCCTGATGTGAGGGCCTGCTCAGAGATGGTCTGGTTCCCCTTCACCTAGTACCTGGGCTGCAGACTTCTCCTTTTCTCTTCTTTCTTTTTTTTAAAATATATTTTATTGATTTTTTACAGAGAGGAAGGGAGAGGGATAGAGAGTTAGAAACATCGATGAGAGAGAAACATCGATCAGCTGCCTCCTGCACACCCGCTACTGGGGACGTGCCCAAGGTACATGCCCTTGACCGGAATCAAACCTGGGACCCTTCAGTCTGCAGGCCGACGCTGTATCCACTGAGCCACACCAGTCAGGGCCAGACTTCTCCTTTTCATAGCCCTCCCCTGGTTAGCAGCCTCGGAGTCTGATCCTCTAATCTGGCTTCGAGGTTTGGTGAGTTTGGAGCTAGTGGTTTTTACAATGAGCTAATGTTAGACCAAGCCTCAAAGGCAGCCTTAGAGATAGAAAATCAAGAAACAAAGGATTTTAAAAGCTGCCTGGCATGGTTTTAAAATCTCATTTGATACTTGTTTTCAGTGAAGTAGGGGCCCTCCCAAGCTACTCTCAGTTTAGTTTAATTTAACAAGCATGAGCCAGGGGTCCATGGGGGCAGAGGAGGGGAGCTGATGGACCTGAGGAGGAATCAGTGTGCCCAGCTCAAGTTCATTCCTCCAGCAGGATGGCATTGCCCGCCCCACCCTGCTCAAACTCCTTTCTGGCATGCTACCAGAACTTCAGGGAACTTAGCGATTGAACAATATACAATTAAGTAGACCATTTCCTTGTATTACTCATTTGAAGTATCAGTGAGCCAAAAAGTTCTGGGTTTTAATTGTGGCCTTTGCACGCCACAGCTGTGGGACCTTGGAGAATGTACTAAACCTCTCTGAACATGGCTCCTATGTGGAAACCCCTTTCCTGGCATCCACCAACCTGACCAACTTGTTCGGTGTTCTGGGCACTGCTTAGTGGGGCCTTGAACACTCTTTTCCCAGCCCCAAAGCTGCGTATCCATCTTAGCTGGCCTGGTCTAGGGCAGGTTCGCGGGCCTTCCACTCCCTCTGCCCTTCTTTCGGCTATTTTAGCTCGTAAGGCTTGTCCCCCATATTTCCTCCCTGGGCCACTTCATCTTATGTTCTTTTCCTGTCTTTTGAATGTACCATTTTTTACTAAAAAGGCCTCTGGAGCTCTCCAGGGTAGAAACCACGGTGACTTAAACCACCACCTCCAAGATCCTTACGGGTCTCTCAGGGAATCGCAGGTTAGGGACACATGGGCAAGTTAAAGGCATCCAGCACCTCCCCTGCCGAGTCCTTGCTTTCCTTTCTGATAATGAAAACAATGCACCATGCATCCCTCTCTGGGCTACTCAGTGGCTACTTGTAATTCATTCATCTCAGGTTCTGGTGTCATTCTTTCTAATTCCACTTAAGAAGACTTGTTCCATTTTTGTTCCCTGAATTTCTTATTTTGGACTACATTTTTTACTCTTTTACAATTGGTTGGGGGTATAAATCCTAAATAATAAAGTACTTAAGACGCCCACACCCACCATGTCATGGTCCACCTTTGACATACATATGATTGGGGTTGGAGGGTGTTGTACCTATTACGAGCTCTCCCATATCTCAGTGTGTCCCTTTAGCTGTTACAGAAACAGAACAACTTTGTGACTATAAAACATGTAATTCTGAAGGGACGTGTTAATTGTTATTTCTGCTTTTATTCTTCTTGCCCCTCCATTTTCTTCTAAGGATAAACTCCGCTGTTTTTTTTCTCCTTCTGTCTCTGTTTATAAACAAATCTTCTTTTTCTCCCTCACGATAGTGTGAAATGGCCATCGGAGGTGACAGACAGAGAGACCAAGAAGTTCATTTCAAAGAATTGAGACCAACAAATATGAAACCTGAAATACTGAGTGGACATATCCCCTCAGGCCACATTCCCAAACCTATCATGTTGCCTGACTATGTGGCGTGAGTATCAATATAAATCCTTCTTCGGGGTAGAAATTGAGATTTTCCATTTGGGCTTTTCATTTTTCTTTTTGTCTCCGAGTTAATCCTCTCTGCTTGCAATCATTTCTATTTGAGCAGCTGTTTGTTACCTGTGAGGTGGCATATTGAGTTGGAGGTGCACAGTATGGTCAGTGAGGAATAAGCTAAACTGATTTCAAGTTCAGCTTGTTTTAGTGAACAAGTTATAACTCTGGTTAATCCTTCTCCCTCCCTCCCCCCAGAAAATACCCTGTGATTCGGACAGATGATGAACGGGAGCGCTATAAGGCTGTGTTCCAAGACCAGTTTTCAGAGTACAAGGAGCTCTCTGCAGAAGTCCAGGCCGTCTTGAGGAAGTTCGATGAGCTGGACGCAGTGATGAGCAGACTGCCACATCATTCGGGAAACCAACAGGTCAGTGTCTGCGGCTGCCTGGGAACACCGAGAGTGACGAAAGGATACATCTGACCTTTCTTGAAATATAGAGAAGTCATAACCACATGCGCCTGCTGTGTATGTCTAGGGAAGTAAGTCACTTGAGGTCGTCAAGGTGACTAGTCAAGGTTACAATTCAAATTATATAATTTAATGTCTTCGGCCTTAAATTATTAAACAGGATTTTATTTTCTCATTTAAGTAAAGTATAAATTGCATATTTTTATATAAAACTTAGAGTAAAGTTAGAAGGAACATTATATTAGCTGCTCTCAAAGTTGAAAATCTCAACCTCTTACTCACAATATGTGATAACATGAAAAAGAACTTTCCAACAAGGGTGAAAATGATGCTTAATAATAGCGAGTGTGATCATTATGTGCCAAGCACTTTACAGGCATCATTTCATATAAATGAAGCTTCTCACAACCCTATGAGGTACATAGGGTTATTACTTCCATTTTACCAATAAGAAAACTGAGTCGTAGGGAGGGGAATGAGCTTGCTCAAGGTCACACCATGGCAGGCAGTGGCACTGGGACTCGCTTCTGGTTTCATGCAGGTGGGGCCTCTCCGTCTGTTCACCTCAGTGCCTGGCACATAGTAATCCTCACACGTCCGGTCAATTGCATTTTTGTGTATGAATATTGTGATTGCAGTCTTAGGTAAAAATTGTTTTCTGTTCTAATTCTCAGTGTGCTTTGAGACACATTCTTGAGATAGGTTGTGCATAAATGCAAGTGTTTTAATTCACAATATATTAAGTATACAATATACTATTTTTAGGAACATGAGAGAATTTCAAGAATCCATGAAGAATTTAAGAAAAAAAAGAAGGTTAGTGAAATTATTTTCTTCAAAGTATATTATCCAGGTACAATGGAGACACCTGACAGATTTTAGATTCTTTTAGCTTTAAAAGTAGGTGTTGTTTTTTTTTATTTCTTATTTTGTTGATTTTTTTTTTTTTTTTTTTTTTTAGAGCTAGAGGAAGGGAGAAAGAGAGAGAAACATCAATGGGTTGCCTCCTGTACCCACCCCAACTGGGGATTGAGCCTGCAACCAGGGCATATGCCCTGACTGGGCAATTGAATTGTCAGCCTTTTCGTGCACAGGACAGTGCTCAACCAGCTGAGCCACACAAACAGGGCTGTTTTTCTGTGTTTCCTAAGATCCTACTTGTTAGGGGACCAGGAGTGCCTGCTGGGCACCTTTTCTTCTCACCTTTGCTCTGTTCTGATGGCATTCTGTCGTGTCCTGATTTAGCCACCCAGGGAAAGGAGCACTGAAACACCACTTGTCACCCACATTTCCTCCCCAAGGTTCCGTTACTTTACATGTTTCTAACTCCATCCTTCACTTGTTTGCACCAATCAGTAGAGGCCAAAGAGAGCTTTCATTAAACATTTCTATAGTTATTATTTACTTTGCATGTATTTTAAACTACTAACGTTATAGGTACCTCAGCTCTTTGAACTTCTCAACTTTGCTGTGAACCTAAAACTATTCTAAAAAATACAGTTTATTAGAAACCTGTGGAGAGCTTAGCTGGTTTTCTTGCTAAGCAGATTTTGAAATCTGCTGCAGGAAAATCTGTTGAGAAGGGTCATTTTCCGGGTGATAATGTGTGTCTGAGTTCTTCGCTGAGGTAGCACAGGCTGACGTTAACAACTGTGTTTCTTCCCCAGGACCCTACGTTTCTGGAAAAGAAGGAGCGCTGTGATTACCTAAAGAATAAACTTTCTCACATAAAGCAGAGAATTCAAGAATATGATAAAGTAATGAATTGGGATGTACAAGGTTATTCTTAAACCTTATCTGAAACCAATTTTTTTAATATCAAACTTAATATTTATTTACTGTCTTTTTTTATGTTAGTCTCTGTGATATTTGAGAAGCAAGTGCTTCCTGAATCAGCTTTCAGTTGGTTTAGCCAGTCTGCAGTGTTAGAACAGTGTGGTTTCACATCAGACATTTCAGAAAGACTCAACTTTACGAAGAATGGAAGACATACTGAATTCATCTCTGTACAGTTTATGTTTATCTTTGTTGACATTGGAAGTGATTCAGAGCTCGTATCCTGGGGTGTGAGAGAAGATGAGTATCAGTTCTGGTGCTGAGGAAGTCTTGATTCTGGTGCCGTAGAGGATCAGCTTTTCCTTTTTCACTCAGGCCGGCTCCTGAGATTTTCTAGGACAAATTTCTCATCCTAGCCAAAGGTGTCATTTGTTCCCTGGAGAGGGTTTGAAGCCAACATCAACATTTTCAAGCCCGATGATCTTGGCCAAGGTGTGTGACCTCTCTATGCCTATTTCCCCACCTGTAAAACGGGCCTAAAATAGTACCCACCTCATTGGGTTGTTACCAGGATTAAGGTCCTTAATGAGCAAGCCCTGCCAGCTAACCACAAGGCCATGTGTCTCCTGACCTTCCCTGTTGTGTTGTTAATAACTCTAACCACTCGTAGCCTTAAGTAGATGCTTTCATTGTGGTTCTGTGCCCAGTGGGGTCCAACACAGCCTTCCCATCTTTAATCGGTCTCCCTGTGCACACATCTCCACAGCCCAGCTGTTCCTGTACGCATCCCATCTCATGGGACCATGTGGATGTTGTTTGGACATTTTCTCTGCTGTTTGGACATTTATCCTCGGGCCCCATGACGTTACATTTACCTAGAATCCCACTTTCACTTATTGGGATGCTTCATCTTCCTAAGAACTATCTTGGCTTTGGGGCTTTATTCATGAGAAATGTTTTATTTTTATTAGTATGAACAATGAACTGCCTTAAAACATTTTTTTGAAAATCCTTGTTATTAGATCCTATTCAGCAGCATTTATCTTGTAATTTCCCAGGTGTAGAAATACAATTTCTGCTCAATATAGCTGCCATTCAAATAATTGGTGTCCAAAGAATTTTCTAAAGTGAAACTGCTGAAAACGTAGAAAAGCAGAGGGTTAAAAGTGTTGGTTACTGAATGAACCTCCTAGTTTTTCTTTGTCAGTGAAATCTTATTTAATGTTGTTGTTATTTTAATACCATGGTGCTCAGACTATGCTTAGGGCTCTAAGAGTTTTAAGGTGACACGGAGGGAAGTGTGAGGCCCCCTCTGGAAGCACACACACCCCCGCCCACCTAGAACAGCTTCCCTTTCTATTTTATGTATTGGGGCCCGCTAACAAACATTTCACTTAAGAGCACCAATGCTTTAAAAATAAAATAGATGAAAGAATACATTTTGGTAGACCGTAAAAATTTAGATTAATATTGAAATGAAGCATTTAGGAAATTTAACTTTGTGAAACTTTATTTTACTACAATTGTAAATGTTAATTCTTGAGAAGTGGTGTTGTAACACTGATTTTTTTTAAAATTTTATATCAATACCTAGGCATATTAAAACTTGTTACCTGTTGTTTTGCTTTTCTAACATTCCTGTGTTGACTGGGCATGTTCTTGAAAATATTTTCATTATCATAAAGCACGCTGGGAAATCACTGCAAACCTGTAGGTCATGACATTCAGGTGGCTGTTTACTCCTCCCCCATTACTTGTAAGAATTCAAAGTCAAGGCCACTGTGTTGGTTTCCACAGGCTGCCATAACAAAGTACCACAAGCTGAGTGGCTTAAAACAACAGAAGTTTATTGCCTCTCAGTTTTGCAACCTAGAAGTCTGAAATTACAATGTCAGCAGGGCCATGCTCCCTCTGAAACTTGTGAGGAATCCTTCCTGGCTTCGGGTGGTTTCCTGGCAATCTTTGGCATCCCTGGGCTTGTGTACGTATCACCCAGATCCTGTCTTCACACAGCTGTCTTCCGGTGAGGACACCAGGCATATTGGATTAGTGACTCGCCCTCCGTAGGATGACCTCATCTTAACTGATTACACCTGTAAAGTCCCTGTTTCTAAATGACATCACATTCTAAGGTACCAGAGGTTAGGACTTCAACATAATCTTTTGGGGGTCGAAACCACAATTCAACCCATAACAGCCACCTTTGGCAAGGTGTGAAGATTTGGAAGCAAAGATAATTCTCTACATTTTTTCCCCTCTTATCTGACTTTAACATATATTCTAATCTCAAAGTTAATATAAGATTATGTCAGTGTGTCTAAAACTGGGAAAGAGGAAAGTATATAGTCTTCACTTATTCATTTGCCAGTTACGTGCCAAATGTTTTCACTGAGCGGTTGTTGTAGCATTGAAGATACAGTAGTCAGTAGTCAGATAGAGACCTTGGATTATAGTCTAACAGGAGATCTGAATGAGAAGACAAGAGGTTGTTGATGCAGTACACATTTTGATGTGCATTTCTGGAAATGATTTGTGAAAGAAACCTTATATGAGATGCAGCAATGGTCAAAAGATAAACAATACAGGCAAAGTCTATAAATTTTTTCTGACTCATCTATTTAAAAAACGATTGGAAATTTTTTTAAAGGAAAAAAACCCCACAAAAACAAATGAGTATAAAAGCTCAGAAAATAAAAGTCCAACCACTATCAGTTCCACTCCCTGGCGATATATATTGTTGGGAGCATATCCTCCTAGTCTTTTTGTTGTGTGTTTTGTTTTGTTAATCCTCATGGATATTTTTCCATTGATTTTTAGAGAGAATGGAAAGAAGAGGGAGAGTCAGAGAGAGACATTGATTGGTTGCCTCCTGCACGTGCCCTGCCCAGGGCCAGGGATCAAGCCTGCAAAAACGGTATGTGCCCTTGACTGATGTTGAACCTGGAACTCTTAAAACTGCTGGCCAAGGCTCTATCCACTGAGCCAAACCAGCTAGGGCTCTTTCTAGTCTTTTTATGATACATAGAATCATTTAAAAATTACCAACTTTAATACTTTAAATATGTTTTTAAAGAAGAGTATCTGAGAGGCTACACCAGCCTGTGACAGAGCGACTCTCCTGTAATAGAGAATGTAACAGGGACAGTCAAAGGTAGGAAGGATGGGTCAGCCCAGCAGAAGGAGAATGTGGGCTTATGAGCCCACAACCAACACATCTCTTACTGTATGATTTTGACAAATGAACCTCTTCAAGCATCTGCTTCCTTATCTGGGGATGATAATACTGCCTGATGAAAGTGTTGTGAAAATTAAATGCAATAATGTACGGAAAATAACCAATTGCTCAATAAGTGGTGGTTGGATATTCAAATATACTTTCATTGAGTTCAGTATTGCGTTGACTACTTTAAAGGTAGAATATCAAAATAACTAATAATAACAATGACAAAAGGCTTTTTCAGAAAGTATATGGAAATGCATTTATTGTAGAAAATTTAGAAAATGAAGATAAGCTTATATTCTTCTAAATACACACAAATGAAATTGCCCATAATTCTACCCCCCTCAGAGATAGTCACTATTAATATTTCGAAACTTATCCTTCCATTCTCGTCTTAATTATATACAGGGTGGGGCAAAAGTAGGTTTACAGTTGTCGGTATGCGAAACTGTTTATTCTTGTATTATTTTTTTATAGTTGAGACATGTTCTTTATGTGTACATTATCAAATTCCAAGTAATAAATCTAACATGAACAGAAAACAAATTATCCTTGACAATTTCCCGCATACTCTGAGTTAAGACTTGAATTTGCAGTCATCATCAGCGAAGCTCTGTAATCCCACCAAGAGTCCTTGAAAGCATGTTCACACACAACCCAATCCCAGGTAATGATGGACCAGTATTAAGTAAAATGGCATTAGGGACCATCCTCTCAGATTTCAATAATTTGTAATCTTTTTGCTGGTGGAGGGTCTTTCCTCAATGTTGATGGCTGTTGACTGATCAGGATGGGGGGTGACTGGCAATTAAGACAATGAACTTCGCCACATTGATTGACTTCTTTTCATGAATGACTTCTCACTCTGTAGCACTGAGCTATTCTTGTATTATTATTTACTTTTCCACACAACTGAAACCTACTTTTCCCCCTCCCTGTATTTACACAAGCATATTAAATAAAGAACGAGTTTTGGTATTAATAAAAAATTTTAAAGTTATATATGCTGTGTTTTATGTTTTAATTAAGAAATAATAGCCCTAACCGGTTTGGCTCAGTGGATAGAGTGTCAGCCTGCGGACTGAAGGGTCCCAGGTTCGATTCCGGTCAAGGGCATGTATCTTGGTTACAGGCACATCCCTAGTAGGGGGTAAGCAGGAGGCAGCTGATCGATGGTTCTCGCTCATCGATGTTTCTAACTCTCTATCCCTCTCCCTTCCTCTCTGTAAAAAATCAATTTAAAAATTTTTTTAAAAAATAATAAAACTAGATCATGTGATTTACCTGAATTTAGAGTTTGTTTTCTACTTATTTCAATTTAATTCAATTTAGTTATATTATTGTTTTAAAGTTACTGATGTTCATATTGTATGGTGGGAAAACCAAGGAATGGGAGTTCGGTCTGGGGTCAAGCTATGTGGCCTCACTTAACTCCCCTGAGCAGTGGGAGGAGATGAGATAAAACTATCTGAAATGATATTGTCAGCCATAAAACTCTATTAAAATCCTGACATTTAGTTCCACATTCTTTGTTCTGATGTTAAAGTACAGTTCATTGTTAATAACTCGAGCTGTTAATGAGTGTTTATTATATAGTCAGGCTTCTTTAGAGGTCTGTACACAGCCTATTGGCTACACACTGGCATTGAAATACTCAAATTACATTTCCATTTCAACTGATTGCTGATCTGCAAGGTCTCATGCTAATATGAAAGGAAGAAAGAGAAGAGAAGGCTTGGGACTGAGCAGCATTTTCCAATTAACAGAACATGGATCTGGCACCTTTCTTCTTTATAAAGAGGGGGGAACGGTCCCCAGATAGAATGAACTTATCGTGCATTCTACCTGCAGGTATGTAGTTAGAGACTTAATTCTGTTTGCCCGGTGAAGTAATTTGTTTAATGGGTAACCCTACCATTTACTTGCTTTGGAGGAACTAAAGTTATTGCCAGATGTTAGACCCATAATAGGCAATTGCCAAGACAGTAAGATTTGTAAGTAATATACGAGATTGCTCTTTTTTACACAACACAAAATATTTTGTGTTACTGTTAAAACAATAAATATTTGTAATCATTTTGTAGGGAGTTTTGCTAGGAGGATTTAGCAGTCAGGAGTCTTAGTTATAAGTCACAGAAACCTACGCTGTATGATTAAGGAGAAGAAGAATTTATTGCCATCTACTATCTAGCTTACAGAATTGCTGGGAGGGCTGGAGAACTGAGCTGGAGGCTTGGCAGCAGGGACAATGTCCAAAATCACACCTGCAATCCCATCTGGTGAGAACAGCTCTCCTGCTGCCTTCTGTACCAAATGCTCCACCAACCCTCCCATCCTATGATGCTGGTGGCCTCGTGACTCAGATTCAGGTGAGTCAGTGGGAAGTGGACTGATTCCCAGGTTCGTCACTTGGGGAGTTCCCAGAGGAATAAAGGGATTTGGATGCTGACAGCCAGAAAACAGGTGTCGGCTACGGAGCAGTGGTTGTCCTAAGTGTGAGTGTAGTCAGGGACTTACCTTATTCAGTTACGAATAGGCCGGGCACACAAATGGCCGCCAAGGCCCGAATATCCTTAACCTTATGCTCCCAGGACTAAGAAAGAAGGCAGAAAGGATCCCCACTAACGTCCTTGATGTAGGAAATGTGTTCCTGGTCCCCACGGTTGAGATTCAGAAAACACCATCCAAAAGCAACACAATACAATCCTTTCCCGGTCTTTCCAGACTAGGTCAAATCTCCCTGCTATAATGCTTGTAGACATCTGCACCTCTTACTGAAATGAGGACAAATGTGACCATTTGTAAAAGACTGGTCTAGCAGTTTTACTCATAATAGCCCCAAACTGGCGATAAACCAGATGTCCATCAACAGAATAGTAGAAATGAGAAATAAATTGTGGTTAAGTCATAAATACTACGGGGGGCGGGGGAGGAGGAGGGGCAGGGGGGGAGAGAACTGCTGTTACACACGAAACATAATGCAGTGCTGAACAAAAGCCAGATACAAGTACATACTGCATAATTCCACTTACATAAAGCCCCAAGGCAAAATTAAGTGATGGTGATCTAAGAATAGTGGTTATTTTGGGAAAGCCAATTATTAACAGGGAAGGGGTATGAGGTAGCCTTCTGGGGTATGAAAATGTGTTATGTACTGCGCTGGATAGTAGTTATATGAGTATATACATATTTAAATATTTCACTCTACCCTTAAGATTAGTTCACTTTATTTATTTATTTATTTTTCTAAGATGAGAACAGAAATTGTCCTGAATGATCCTTCTTGGGTCTTCAGAACCATAAAGGTTTAACTGGCCTTTGATACTGGTACTAACGCCTTAAACTTTTGAGGGCAATGACCTAAAGCATGGCCATGATCTGTGCTGCTCGCCACTGGATTTCCCCATATTGATGTCTAAACCACTCCCACCCCCCATACTATCTTGGTTGGCCTCAACAAGCTACTTCTCAAAAGCCTTATTCTGTTAATTCTATATGCAAGTCCCTATCACAGGGATATTCAACCTTTCCATCTCATGGTACAGACTAAACGACCACCTAAAGGAAAAGAGATCAGTGCCCCTGACTAGTCAGGTGTTGCATTGTTTTAAAAGTTTTTGCCCCACTGGTTGGAAATCGCCGCACTATCAACATTTCTGCTGGCCTCTGGAAACATGGCAACTTTCATAAAGATCCGTTTATGTGAGAGACGGCAGATACCATGAGAACTGTCTTTTCCTGAAATGTTGCAGATCGGTTACAGCAAAGAGAACAGCGACCCTCAAGGAAAACTGTCACTCTGGGCTCCTTTTTGACCGCAGCAGCTATGTGGAAGCTCACTTTATTTTTATTATTATTATTTTAGTTCACTTTATGCACTTAAATATGTCTGTTCTGTATCAATTAAAAACTTGTTTTATGCCCTAACTCGTTTGGCTCAGTGGATAGAGCATCGGCCTGCGGACTTAAGGGTCCTAGGTTTGATTCCGGTCAAGGGCACATGCCCAAGTTGCGGGCTTGATCCCTGATATTTCTGTCTCTTCCTCTTCCTTCTTCTCTGAAATAAATTTTTTAAAAAATTTTTAAGTTGTTTTAAAAATCTAGTCTATGGTGGGAGAATTCTGAGATGGTTATTGGCAAGGAAGGGGCGTGAAGGAGCCTCTGGGTGCTTTACCTTGATCTGGTTGATTACCCATCAAGCCAAACAATTAAAATTAGTGCCTTTTTCTGTACATATGTAATATCTCAATTTTTTTCACAGTATTTCTTTTTTTTTTAATATACTTTATTGATTTTTTACAGAGAGGAGGGAAGAGGGATAGAGAGTTAGAAACATCGATGAGAGAGAAACATCGATCAGCTGCCTCTTGCACGCCCCCTACGGAGGATGTGCCTGCAACCAATGTACGTGCCCGTGACCGGAATTGAACCTGGGACTCTTCAGTCCGCAGGCCGAGGCTCTATCCGCTGAGCCAAACCGGTTAGGGCTCACAGTATTTCTTAATTGTTTATCAAGAGAAGTAATTCCAGATACTCCAAGGTTTCCAGTTCCATCTCTGGCCAGGGCACATACAAGAAGCAACCAATGAATGAATGCATAAATAAGTGGAACAATTCTCTCTCCCTCCCTCTCTCTCTGTTTCTCTCTCAAAATCAATCAATAAATTTTTTTTAAAAGAGAGAGAAACTGCCCTAACCGGTTTGGCTCAGCGGATAGAGCATCAGCCTGCGGACTCAAGGGTCCCAGGTTCGATTCCGGTCAAGGGCATGTACCTTGGTTGCGGGCATATACCCAGTGGGGGGTGTGCCTGAGGCAGCTGATCGATGTTGTTTCTCTCTCATCGATGTTTCTAACTCTCTATCCCTCTCCCTTCCTGCCTGTAAAAAATCAATAAAATATATTAAAAAAAAGAGAGAGAGAGAGAGGGAGAGAGAAACTATTCCTTAGTTCAAATATTCATGTTTCATAGTTCAGGAATATGGGTCAGTGATAAACTTCTATGAAATCCAATGCAAAGAAGTTCTTTATATTTCTTTTTTTTTTTTTTTAATTCTTTACATTTCAAGATCACCTTGCGCTCTGAAAGATACCAGCCTTCCTCATCTCTTGAAAATCTTTCATGGAGTCATAATTTCTGTGGAAATAAATCTACAGATGCCTTTTTTCTTGGTTTAGCCACAGCAAACTTACAGAAAGCTGCAGCCCCCAGGGAGACAATGATGGCTCCAACAATATGAAACTGCAGACGCTTGGTCAGAAAGACACACATCAGAAGTTTTGTCAAAGCACTGGAAGACACGGTAGCTATATTCTCCTCAACACCAGCGTCCTTCATGGTGGAGAAATGGACAATGCTCCTGTAATACCTCAATTTTTAATAATCATATGCATGTTTTAAGAAAACTATGTTTCCAGTTTAAAACAATGTAAATTTAGAAACACAATCCTTTCAGAAATTGAGAACTGCCTACTGTGCTAGTGGTCTTTGGAAAACATTTACAAAGTTATGGCTAAGACAACAGTCTTACAACTGTTGGTTTAATGACTCATACTTGAAACCCAAGATTGTGTGTTTGCGACTTTGAACCAACCACCCCCTCCCCAGCTAAGATGGCAGGTTATAGCCATTTTCTTCCCCTTTCACTCTATGAGCAGTCCCCAAACAGAAACTCTACAAAAGAACGAACCTGAAGATTATTTCTACCTGTTCAAATGCTATCCTATTGCTGTATTCATGCCTATGAAGTCTCTTCGTGCATAGGGCAGGAAAGGGTGTGTGACAGGTGAGGAGAATACTGTTAGTAATGTGTGGAAAACAGCAGCCCTGCCCTATTTAAATCTTGTGTGTGATCAGGAAGCCTGCCAATGTTGTTAATAGTCAAGGGTACTCTGGGGATTGTTATTGCTGAAGGGCAAACCCAAGTTAAACCGTGGGACAAAGCTATGCACAACTACCCTAACGAGTATTTGGAAGGTGCCTGCCATGTGATTCAGCCACCCAGAGGCAACAGGGAGGTGGAAATGGTCTGTTGCTTTTCATATAATCAGTGGTGATATCCAGGGTTTTCTTAGAAACCCTTGGGATTAAAATCAGAATATGGAGAGATTAACATACAGCAAGAATGTTATTGTAAGGTGTCTGATGTCAACATGCCATATGTCAATAATTCTTCATGAGTCACTTTTATCGTATCCCTGTTTCCCTACAGGTGGCTCCTTGATTTTCTTCTATTCTCGTGATGAGAAATTGGTGCCGAATGACTGGACTACAGTAATTCCTCTTCATCTTTGTGACATTCAAGTCCTCAGCAGCTCGAATCTAGGCTGGGATGGCCACCCACCTGGTCTTCCCATCTCTATTTTGTGATGTAAGTTGAACATGCGTGAGCCCCTCCCATGTGCAAAGCAGATACTTTGCTCATCCTACTCGTGAGACCTAGCCATGCCTTCCTTTCATAGCAGTCACTGAACTGCCGTATGCCCTGAACTTTGTTAGAAGCTGTGGAGTGAGTGGTTAGGAGGACTGGCTCTGGAACCAGACTGCCTGGGTCCAAATTCTGACCATGCCACTGACGAGCTGTGTAAGCTCGGACACGTTACATCACCTCTTTGTGCCTTAGGTTCCTTATTAGATAATGGGAATAATAATATCATCGCCCTCCTAAGGTTTTTGTGAAGGGTAAGTGAGCTAAAACATGTAAAACACTTAGGACTGTATCTGAGCCCACAGAATCATAGCAAACAGTCACAGATTATTCATAAAATGTGCTTTTATTTAATGTTGTATTTACATCAGTGAATTATTTTTGCGTGTGCTAGGGTGGGAGGCTGAAGGATATGGACAGGTGAGGAAAATGCTGTTTGTTAGTAATGTGGGAAAAATACCGGCCCTTTCCTATTTTTGTGGTGTAGTCATAGAATGCTACAGAGCAATAAGAAAGAATGAAACACTCCTACCTGCAAAGTGTGACAGAATATTGAATAAAAGCCAGACAAGGGTAGATACTAGACAATCCCATTTATATAAAGCTCCAAAACAGGCAAAAAAAAAAAAAAGCAATGGTGATATGTTAAAAAAGGATTCTTTTTCTTTCCTTTTCCCTGAAGCCCACTGCCTTTAAGTGGTTGAGCTGGTTATCAGAATCACCTGGGATGCTATTTTTTTTTTCCTTTTTATTGGATTTATTGTGGTGACACTGGGCAACAAAATTATATAGGTTTCAGGTGCACAATTCCACAACCCATCATCTGTATACGGCACTGTGTGCTCACCATCCCAAGTCAAGTCTCTGGTGTGCCATTTATCCCTCCTATGTCTCCCTCCCCCTCCCCCTACCGCTCCTCCCCCCAGCAATCACCACACTGTTGTCCGCGCCCATGAGTTTGATGCTGTTATTAATTTAAATTCTTAGTTCCCTCCCTGGGATTTTTTTCACCAGTTTAGAGTGGGGGCCAGGAATCTGTATTTATGTCTAGCCCATGGGATACCCAGGGAAGAAACCCAGAGAACAAATATTCCAACCTCCTTCTTCTCCTCCTCTTTCCATGTCCTGCTGGTACCTCCCATTGTCTGAACCCAACAGAAGGCAGAGACAAGGAGCCTGATGATGTAGCCTTCCCAGGTCAGCTTCCTGGGTCAGAGTGGAGAAGTGAGGTGAGTAGATCGGGAGGAATCCCAACCAACATCAACTCTATGATTTGAATACGATTCTTATCCCATTTTACAGTTGAGGAAACTGGGGCCCAGAGCTAGATCCTCAAGATTCCTACACAAGCAATGCTCACTTCTACCTACAGGGCATTACTCTTAATGGGATTTGCATGGAAGCTCTTTTGGCCTGGATGCCTCCTCACTGAATGCCCAGCTTATTTAACTCTTTGCCCTTCACATCTTCACCCTTCTTCTATTGCACCATTTATAGTCAGAGCTGCAGAGGGCACAGCTCATTATCCTCCTGGTTCCATAAATTTATAGAATGCTGGAGTCAGAAAGGTGAAGGAGAGAGAGAGAGAGAGAGAGAGAGAGAGAGAGAGAGAGAGAGAGAGAGAGAGAGAAGAGGAGAGAGGAGAGACTTGTTGTTCCACTTATATATGCATTCATTGGTTGCTTCTTATATGTGCCCTGACTGGGAATCGAACCCGAATTCTTGGCATATCAGGACGGTGCTGTAACTAACTGAGATACCTGGTCAGGGCTGAAGCCCAAATCTATTCCATGTATCCATTTTCCATTTCCTGCCTTGACTATAAGCCACAGGAGGTCAAAAACCAAGTCTTTTATACCATCTCTACCTTCCACACCCTTCAGCAGAGTGAAACACATTTCTGATACTCAACAAACTCATGTTAGTTGTTTTATTTGGTTAATTATTATTATTTGAATAACAGATGAACTCTTTTTTTTTTAATATGGAACTCTTCACACATTTGCATGTCATCCTTGTGCAGGGGCCATGCTAATCTTCTCTGTATCACAGATGAACTCTTTTAGCATTGAAATCATCTTGCTGAATATGAGAGAGATACAAATATCCTCATTCATAGCTTTTGAATGTCCATTGTCAAAATGTCAAAATTTAATACAGTTCTTTAAAAAAGCAATACCTTGCCTTGGCTCAGTGGATAGAGCCTTGGCCTGTGGTCTGAAGGGTCCCAGGTTTGATTCCTGTCAAGGGCACATGCACATGCCCGGGTTGTGGTCTCAAGGCAGCAACCTGGGCATGTGCAGGAAGCAGCCGATCAATTATTCTCTCTCATCATTGATGTTTCTGTCTGTCTTTCGCTCTCCCTTCTTCTCTGAAATTAATAAAAGTATATTTTTTTAAAAAGCAATACCTTCTGCCTGGCTGGTGTGGCTCAGTGGCTGAGCATCAACCTATGAACCAGGAGATCACGGTTCAATTCCCAGTCCGGTGCACATGCCTGGATTGCAGTCTAGATCCCCAGTGGGGGGGGGGGGGGGTGCAGGAGGCAGCCAATCAATGATTCTCTCTCATCATTGATGTTTCTATCTCTCCCTTTCCCTTCCTCTCTGAAATCAATCAAAATATATTTAAAAATAAATAAGCAAGCAATAATTTCTGACTTGGCAATCTCACTTGTAGGAGTTCATCCCAAGGACAAATTGATGTTTATGGATACATGTTCACCTCAGTGTTTGTAATAGTACACATACAAATATGTATGCAGTGTGAGAAACCAATATACAGTCTTCAGACAAGGAAGACAATCCCAAACAGTGAGGACTTGATCAATAACTGCGAGTTTCCCTAATGTTTAACCTCCTCCCATACCTTCCAACTTAGGACTAATCAGAGAAAGCCAAATACGCTCCCAGAACCAGTCACACTTCCAGTGAGCCCACCTCCAGCTTCCCCTGCCAATGACCTCCACGCAGGGCATGCCTACAGCCTTTCTTTTCCTTCCACTGTGAAGCTTTTCAACTCCTCCGCCTGCCTTTGAGTCTCTGCCAAATGCATGCTTCCTTCCCATAGCAAGCTCTGAATAAATAGCTTTTTTTTTTTTTTACTTGATCTCATTTGAATGGTCTTCATTTATTTTCACAACTGGAAACAACCAAAAAGGTTTGACAACAGAAAGTTTAAATAACTTATGGCATACCTCTGTGATGGAATGTTATACAGTGATTAAAAATAAAGTTCTTTGAGGAAGGTGAATTCAATAGGTAAAATGCTCATGAAATAATATTGGATGAAAGAAGAAGGAAGCATAGTTATAGATACAGTATGATCGATATACAATTATACATTGCATATATATATTATATGTAGTAGATATTACACACATGTTTTGTGCACACCACAGAAAAAATAATTTAAGGAAATTCACCACAATGTTAGCAGTTGTAACAGTTGTTTTCTCTGGGTTGGTGACACCATGTATTTTTTAATATATTTTATTGATTTTTTACAGAGAGGAAGGGAGAGGGATAGAGAGTTAGAAACATCGATGAGAGAGAAACATCGATCAGCTGCCTCCTGCACACTTCCCACTGGGGATGTGCCCGCGACCAAGGTACATGCCCTTGATTGGAATCAAACCTGGGACCCTTGAGTCCGCAAGCCGATGCTCTATCCACTGAGCCAAACCGGTTAGGGCGACACCAGGTATTTTTCATTTTCTTCTTTATGTTTTTTTAACAATTTCCAATTTTTCCACATTGAATATGTGTCTGTTTTGTAATACAAGGAATTTAATTCTGCCCATTACAGAAATGAGCTCAGAAGAGAGCCCTCAGCTCCAGATAAAAACACAGCTGGCTAACACCTTGATTCCAGCCTGAGCAGAGAAGTCAGCCATGCTGAGCTGGACTTCCAACCTACAGCACTGTGAGCTAATAAATAGGTGCCATTCTAAACTGCTAAAAAAAAAATTATTCTGATAGCCACTTGGCCTGGAGGTCAAACCCTCCCTGGAATTAGCTACAACAATCAAGGTTTAACTATAAGACTTCGAACAAAGACCACTAGGGGGTGCACCAAGGAAGCATAACAAAATGCGGAGACAAAGAAACAGGACAAAATTGTCAATGGAAGATATAGAGTTCAGAACCACACTTTTAAGGTCTCTCAAGAACTGTTTAGAAGCCGCCGATAAACTTAATGAGATCTACAAGAAAACTAATGAGACCCTCGATGTTATATTGGGGAACCAACTAGAAATTAAGCATACACGGACTGAAATAACGAATATTATACAGACTCCCGACAGCAGACCAGAGGAGCGCAAGAATCAAGTCAATGATTTGAAATGCGAGGAAGCAAAAAAACACCCAACCGGAAAAGCAAAATGAAAAAAAGAATCCAAAAATGCGAGGATAGTGTAAGGAGCCTCTGCGACAGCTTCAAGCGTACCAACATCAGAATTATAGGGGTGCCAGAAGATGAGAGAGACCAAGATATTGAAAACCTATTTGAAGAAATAATGACAGAAAACTTCCCCCACCTGGTGAAAGAAATGGACTTACAGGTCCAAGAAGCGAGGAGAACCCCAAACAAAAGGAATCCAAAGAGGACCACACCAAGACACATCATAATTAAAATGCCAAGAGCAAAAGATAAAGAGAGAATCTTAAAAACAGCAAGAGGCCGAAACCTGTTTGGCTCAATGGATAGGGCGTCGGCCTGCGGACTGAAAGGTCCCAGGTTCGATTCCGGTCAAGGGCATGTACCTGGGTTGCAGGCATATCCCCAGCGGGGGAGTGTGCAGGAGGCAGCTGATCGATGTTTCTCTCTCATCGATGTTTCTAACTCTCTATCTCTCTCCCTTCCTCTCTGTAGAAAATCAATAATAAAAAAAAAAAAAACAAAAAAAAAAAACAGCAAGAGAAAGAAACTCAGTTACCTACAAGGGAATACCCATACGACTGTCAGCTGATTTCTCAACAGAAACTTTGCAGGCCAGAAGGGAGTGGCAAGAAATATTCAAAGTGATGAATACCAAGAACCTACAACCAAGATTACTTTATCCAGCAAAGCTATCATTCAGAATTGAAGGTCAGATAAAGAGCTTCACAGATAAGAAAAAGCTAAAGGAGTTCATCACCACCAAACCAGGATTATATGAAATGCTGAAAGGTATCCTTTAAGAAGAGGAAGAGGAAGAAAAAGGTAAAGATACAAATTATGAACAACAAATATGCATCTATCAACAAGTGAATCTAAGAATCAAGTGAATAAATAATCTGATGAACAGAATGAACTGGTGATTATAATAGAATCAGGGACATAGAAAGGGAATGGACTGACTATTCTTGCGGGGGAAAGGGGTGTGGGAGATGCGGGAAGAGACTGGACAAAAATCGTGCACCTATGGATGAGGACAGTGGGTGGGGAGTGAGGGCGGAGGGTGGGGCGGGAACTGGGAGGAGGGGAGTTATGGGGGGGAAAAAAAAGAGGAACAAATGTAATAATCTGAACAATAAAGATTTAATTAAAAAAAAAAAATTATTCTTAACTCTGGCCGGTGTGCTCAGTTGGTTGGGCATCATCCTGTGCACTGAAAGGTTGAGGGTCAATTCCCGGCCAGTGCACATGCCCAGTGTGGGCTCGATCCCCAGTAGGAACTCTCTCTCCACCATTCCTCTCTCTCTAAAAATCAATAAAAATATACTTTAAAAATTTGCCCTTAGTTTTAACATGATTTTGAAGAATTGGTGACTACAAAGTAGACAACTGGCATCTTTTCTATCCCTTCCTTTGTTGGTTCCTCAGTTATAGAACCTTTATGTCTCTTAAAAAAGAAAAAACAGATTGCAAATTGGGTTCCACGTTTTTTCCTACCAGTCAAATTGGTCAAGAAATTTCACCCTCTCACCTGGATGAATTAAAAGACCTGACATTGAAATGACCACCTATGTCCATGCCCTGGTGTCAAGAATCAACTTGAGAATGGGTCTATCACATTTGAACTGTATTAAGATATCTGAGAGAAGATTCCAAGATCTTGTCTGTATTTATATGTTTATTTTTTGTGGTAAATATACATAAATTTACCATTTTAACCATCTAAAGTGTACAATTTATTGGCATGTTCACAATGTTGTACATCACAACTATCCATCTTCAGAATGTTTTCATTGTCCAAAACAGAAGCTTTGTTCCCATTAAACTATAATTCCTCATTCTTGCTTCCCCCATGATTTTTGATAACGTCTATTCTACTTTCTGTCTCATACATATGAATTCATATGCCTCATATAAGCGGAATCATACAATGTTTGTCCTTTTGTGTCTGGCTTATTTCACTTAGCATAATGTTTTCAAGATTCATGTTGTAGCATGTGTCAGTACTGCCTTCCTTTTTATGGCTGAATAATATTATCTTATATGTACATATTACATTTTGCTTATTCATTAATCTGTTGATGGACACTTGGGTTGTTGTGAATACCATTCAAGTTGGCTATTGTAAATAATGACGCAATAATGATGCTGTTGATACCACATAGGGACCTTGACCCAGGAACCCAAGGATGCCAGATGATCAGAAGAAACACCAGATAAGCTAACCACAAGAGTGTCACCACTCTTCCACTCCTGGCCCAAGGGTGCAGAAGTAGCCTTTCTTATCTCCCTTCTAACTGATTACTTTTTTTGCAGATGTCAAAACCAGTAGTTCCTAAGCAACTGACAGAAGGAGAAAGGAGCTCAACCCTGACATGGAAAATTCTAAATGCCCACCTTTTCCAAAATGCCTGCCTTGTCCCCAGCTTATAAAAGCAGCCAGTATGCCCTGATTGAGTAGCTCAGTTGGTTAAGAGCATGGTTCCAATATGCCAAGGTTTTGGGTTCAATCCCTGGAATCAATCAATAAATGCATACTTAAGTAGAATAACAAATCTCTCACTCTCTCTCATCAATAAGTAAAATTTTTCTAAATAAATAAAGAACAGCCAAGCAGAGCCAGCTCCTGAATCAGTTCGGAGGACTTTCCTTTCCTCTGTGCTGCCTCCCTTGTGCTTGAGCATAAGCTTAATAAAATCTGTCTGAAATTTTCTCTGGGGTTTCCTCTTGATTTTTATCTTGGGGAACCCAAGAACCCCAATGGTGGTAACACTAAGAATATTAGTATCTGTTTTTGTCCCCACTTTGAATTGTTTGGGGTAAATACCAAGGAGTAAAATTTCTGGATCACATGGTAATTCTATGTTTAACTTCTTGAGGAACCACCAAACTGTTTTCAACAGTGGCTGCACCATTTTACATTCCCACCAGCAATTCATGAAGGTTTCAATTTCTCCAATAATTGTTATTTTCTTTCTCTGTCTTTTTAAAAAGAGTCATCCTGCCCTGACCGGTTTGGCTCAGTGGATAGAGCGTTGGCCTGCGGACTGAAAGGTCTCAGGTTTGATTCCAGTCAAGGGCATGTACCTTGGTTGCGGGCACATCCCCAGTGGGAGGTGTGCAGGAGGCAGCTAATTGATGTTTCTCTCTCATCTATGTTTCTAACTCTTTGTCCCTCTCCCTTCCTCTCTGTGGAAGGTCAATGAAATATATTAAAAAAAAAAAAAGAGTCATCGTAATAGGAGTGAAGCAATATCTCATTATGGTTTCAATTTGTGTTTCCCTAATGATTAGTGATATTGAGCATCGTTTCATGTACTTATTGGTCATGTGTATATCTTCTGTGGGAAAATGTCTATTCAAGTCCTTTGAGAGAGAGAATCAACCATCTCTTGACTCCCACACATCCCCCTGAATGGGAATCTAAACTGCCACTTTTTGGTGTACAAGATAATGCTCTAACCAACTGAGCCACACCTGCCAGGGTGTAAGAGTTCTTTACATATTCTGTATTTGATTTAGTTTTGAACTTGACTAAATCCATCTCTTTATTAATCAGAAGACTTATAAATATAGAATCCAGCCCTGCCGGTGGGGCTCATTTGGTTGACTGTCAGCCATGCACCAAAAGATTGTTGGTTCAATTCCTGGTCAGTACACATGCCTGGATTTCCAGCTCAATCCCCAGTAGGAGGCCTGCAGGAAGCAGATGATCAATATTTCTATCTCTCACTCCTCTTTTCTTCTCTCTCTAAAATTAAAACATTTAAAAAATTAAATATATATTAAAAAATTAAATATACACACACACACGCACATACACACACACGCACTAGAGGCCTGGTGCATGAATTCATGCATGGGTGGGGTCCCTCAGGGTGGCCTGCAGAGATCAGGCCCCAGCTTGCGCCCACAGCCTTGCAGCCCCACAGCCCCGCCTGGCACCCTGCCCTGGCCTGGTGCCACCCCCTCACCTGCTCCACCATCCCGCTGTGGTCCTGCTCTCATCAGGGCCCATCGGGGCCAGCAGCACCTCCACTGCCACCAGCTGCCAGCGCTGCATCGCCAACATCCGCCATGTTCCACATCACCCTCTGGTAGTCAGCGCACTTCATAGCAAGCAGTTGAATTCCCAGTCGAACTAATGGTCAAACGACCACCCGAGGGGACATTGTGCATATTAGGCTTTTATTATATAGGCTTTTATTATACGCTTTTAGAATAATCTGAACTAAATTTTCTTCAGAAGCAAAAATAATATGAAATAATATAATCTGATGGGGTTTTAATGATAGTGGAGTGTACTTAGGTCAACAGAAGTTTCTGCTAAACTGCTCTTCTGGACTGGCCAAATTAGTTAAGAGCCGTAAGCCAGAAAAAAATGTTAAGCAACAAAAGACAAGACTTGTTTCAGACCTGTGTTTTCTGTGTACCTTTGTACCTAAGCCTGCTGCTGGCCTCTCTACTCCAAGCCTTGGTGTCCAAAAAAACTGGTGGAAAATTAAAGAGAAGTTTCAGGGATGTTTTGCCTTGTCATGGAGGAAGGAGTGCTCCAGGAAATCATTTGGGGATCTTCTAGG